CGGCTGCTTTGACGGTTTCGAAGGTTACTTCGACGCCGATGCCTGCGAGGACGACGTCCGGGTCCGGGTTGGGGTTGGAGTTGGTGGTGGTGGTGTTGGGGGTGGAGGCAAAGTGCCAGATGGAGGCGCCCCGTTGGCAGTGCTCGGCTGCTTCTTCTGGGGAGAGGTAGACTGCGGTGGGCTGCTTGGAGCCGATGACGAGGTTGGTTTTGTTGCGGGATTTGAGGCAGTGGTGGATCGTGGAGAGGAAGCAGTTTGCGTCTGGGGGGAGGTAGACCTGGTGGGGGGGAGTTAGTTGCTTCGGTATGAAGAGAGACGTGTTTGGGAGTTGGGGGCTGGGAAAAGGGCGTACTCTGGCTGCTTCGGGCTTGATGTTGAGCACAGCCCCAATAAAGGACGGGTTCTGGTGCGAGAAGCCGTTGTGCTCCTGGCGCGCCCACGTGCTCGTCTCGATGTAGTTGATGGACGGCAGGTCACCGCGCCACTCGACCTCGCGGGCGATCTTGACAAACTTGGAGTACTGCACCATCATGGTGTGCACGATGCCCAGGAAGGACTCGTAGCTGGGGAAGATGGCGGTCCGGCCCGTCAGCGTGTACCCCTGCATGAAGCCCTGGCAGTTGTGCTCCGACAGCACCTCGATCACCCGCCCGCCGTTGCCGCGCGAGTACTGGTCCCACTGGAAGTTGCGCTGCGTATGATCCAGGAGGGCGTCGAGCTTGTTGCTCTCCAGCTCGTCGGGTGAGAAAAGGCGGATCGTCTTGGGGTTCTCCTGGAACACCTTGTCGAGTAGCTTGGCGGTGATCTTCATGCAGCTCTGACTTGTACCTTTCTCGACGCAGAATTGCTGCCAGTCGACTGCCTTCAGGCCAACGTACGGATCATATGTCGCCTTGTGCTGGCCGAGTTTCTTTTCGTCTGTCCGGGGCATCACGTCAAGGATAGTTTCGGTCGGTTTCCCGTCCTTGAGAAGCTCGCTAATCTTGTAGCTTGATAGCCAGTCGTTGAGTGCCTTGAGCTGCTCCTGATCGCTGTTGGCTTTGGGTAAGGGAACCTGGTGGGCATGGAATGACCCCTCGATGATCTTGCCCTCCACCTCTTTCGGCCCCGTCCAGCCCTGATATGCGTTAGTCGCGTAGGGCCCTCTTGATCAACGTTGGAAGATGTCTTACCTTGGGTGTCCGCAACACCAGCATCGGCCATCGGGGCTTCGCAATTGGCTCTCCGGCCCGTGCCGCCTTCTGGATCTTCTTGATCTCAGCAACAGCCCACTCCAAGCCATTCTGTAGCTCGTCATCGATCTTGTCCAAATCCTCGACAATCAGCACCTGGTATCCGTAGCCGCTGAACAAGGACACGATTTCCTTGTCGTCCATGCAACCAAAAATGGTGCGTTCACTGATCTTAAACCCGTTGGCGTGCAGGATTGGGATGACGGCCCCTGACTCACGGGGGTCGAGGTACTTGATAGCGTGCCATGCCCTGGGATGTGAATGTAAATACCACGCCTGCCAGCTGGAAAGGTTGAGACACTCACGTTGCCGTTGGCCCCGTCTCAGCCTCGCCATCTCCAACGACGCAAGTCACGATGAGATCGGGGTTATCCATGACGGCGCCGAATGAGACGGCCAGCGCGTAGCCTAGCTCTCCACCTTCGTGAATGGCACCGGGAGTTTCGGCATTGATGTGGCTGCAAAGCGTTAGCCGCAGGCTCCACGCGTAAAATAGGTATGCTTCAACCTACCTCGGAAACCCGCCAGGCACCGAGAACCTTGTGATGAGGTTCCTCAACCCCTCTGCGTTGCGGGGGTACTCGCCAGGATAGAACTTCTCCAACGAGCCCTCCAACCACAAGGCGGCCAGGGCGGCGGGGGCACCATGGCCCGGACCAACGACATAAATCATGTCGAGGTCGTGATTGCGGATGAGCAGGTTAAGGTGGGACCACACTAGGATGAGGCCGGGACATGTTCCCCAGTGGCCTGGGAGTCTGTGTTAGGTTTTGGCATAAAGAGGGCGGCATGCAAGTGGTGACAAGTTGACCTGTGGCATACCTAGGAGCCGTGGCTTGATGTGATTGGGCTTTAACTCGGACTCGAGGAGGACGTTGTCGGAAAGAAAGATCATTGCTGGTTTTGTCAGTTGCGAGTGCGTGTAAAGGGGTTGAGCGAGGGGCTGTTACCGGCGGCGATGTACTCGGCCGCTCGCTGGAAGCCGCGGAGGGATTCCCGCACATGGTCGGGGAGGGGGTTTTGCTTGAGCTGTACAGAAAGCTCCAAGACACTATCGGGGAGGTGAGAAGGGAGGGGGGGTGGGTTCGCTACGGGGATCTGTTTGCCGGGCATTGTGGAAGAACTGTTCAGAAGGACTATTCAAGTTGTCTTTTCGTTCTTGATACTCAGCAAGAAACGCGTGTCAAAGTGCTGGTGGTGATTGAGGTGTGAGTAGACGCTAAACCGTTATTGATAGCTACAAGATAGGAGTGAGTTCCAGGCTCTTGACACTTCACCAGAGCAAGTTTCATACTGGCAAACATGTATGACGTCGTTGAGAGTTGCCCCACATGTCCGGCCCGTCTCCCGGTTTTGGGAGCCGGTCTCCGGTGTTACCCCACATCTCGGGCCGCGGCATGGTTGGCAACCTAGTCGGGATTCGGCCACCCGGCAGCAGCGGGTTTGCTGTAGTATTAAATGGCAGGCGATATTTGCAACCAAACCTGACTCAAGCCTGCTATGTTGGGGCAAGCTCCTCCTTTTTGACTATGACCTATCAATGAATATTAGCCGGATTCAAAAACCCGAGGGGCACCAGCCGTAACAATGCTCGATTTCGGCGATCCGCTGTGACTCCGTTTCCCACTGCTTCACAACAAGGGCCCTGGCTCCCCGTTCATCCCACCGATGCTCGTCCCACATGACGTAGCCCCAGTTCTGGACCGCCGGAGGCACGTGGTCCCCGTAGATGTTAACGTAGGTCCCGTTCCACAGGAGAACCCACCCGAGAGGTGGCCCGTCTGGCGGCACGGCGTCGCCTGCGAATTCCATCGGATCCTTCCGCTGCTCGGCCTCGTCCCTGGCACTGAGTGCTGCAGCCCGCCTCTGTCTCTGTACCGGCCACGTAGTGGTCAGGGGTATAGGGTCGTCTTGAAAGCAGCTGAGCACGAGATATTTTTGAATCTTGGCAATGAGAGTTTCGTGGCTGTCCATTTTGAGGATCTTATCTGCGACGCCGAGTCCACGTGAAACGGTGCCATGCATGATGCCTGGTACGGATGGGAACTTGGAGTTAGCGCCCGGAGATTTACTCTTGTCAGTGGATAGGGTACTTACCTTGACGCTGGGTACGAACATATAACGATCCGGCGTGAACATTGTCATTGCCGAGGTCGTATTCGGGGTTCGCGGCGTGCAGGTCATCTTGGATCTGGTCAAAAATCTCCCCATACCTCTGCCTGAGGAAACCATCAACGCATATTACAGCGTCTACTTCCCAAGGCTCAAACAAGCCAAAAAAGAGCGCGTTGACCTCGTGAAACTCCATGTTGAGATTCCGGTCGCACTGATTCACTCCGAAGAGCTGGCAGTACGTGTGGAACCGGTACAGAGCTCGGTAAATGCGTATCTCCTCGCTTCTACTCAACACGATATCCTGCTCCGTCGTTGTTGGCCCTGTCTCCGCGACGCCTTGGTCCTGTAGTGGAGGTGAAGTCGCCCGAGCCAGGTTTTGGAGCGCCCAAGCGCTATACCGACGAGCCATTGGCTTAGCGACCCCCAAGTGGAAGCGCGACAGCCACCTAGCTTGGTGAGACCGAATCCCGTCCAGGTTTGCAAGCGGAGTCGGGTTCGCCAGCCAACCCCGATAAGCTTCGAGGTGGGCAGTAATTTTCTCGACGGTCCGGAGAGGCATCATCTCGCCCACGCGCGACTTGACACAGCCGTAGGCGTCGGCAATGAAGCCGTCCAGCTCGCGTGCCACACAGACGCGAAGAATCGATTTGCGGTTGCTGCGGTACTGGGCATGCATCACCGGAGAGGCCCGGACAAGCGAGTGCAGTGTGGTCAAATCCGGAACGCTCAGGAGAATCTGGTCCCTGAGTTCGGCGGGAAGGCTTTCCAGCAAAGAGGAAGATGCAGACTTGGGTTCAGGATGCCGGTCTGCTTCATCTCCTTTTCCCATGTGCAGGTCGGGGTCGTCAGGCCACTCTGGCGCATCGTAGTAATGGGAATCGCTGCCTTGATCCGAGTCCTGGTCATCGGGTGCTTTTGTGTGAGTGTGTGGGGGGTCGAGGCGACAGACTGTCTCTCTCCCTTTCTCGGGCGCGATTGCATCGTGTGCCGATTTCTCCATGACAGTTGTGGGCCCCCGGCCGCTGCATGGGATGCAACAACAAGGAGAGAGAGTTCATGAGTTCCAGGAAAAAAACTGCAGACTTGGCACTGGCTTATTTATGACCTCCATGTCTGGCACAGACCACTTTTGGGGGCTGGACCTACCACACCACATATACACTGTGTCTGATGCGTGAAGATACAACCTCCCTAGGGTAACAATCTAGTGGTGTTTCTCGGGACAGAAGTTAGCTGCAGTACTACATCAGTCGTCATCCTCGATCGTTGTTCGGCGATCTTGGTGTGTATCCGGAAATGGCGGAGATTGTGCCGGAACTCTGGTTTAGTGTCGTCAAAAGTGCCAGGATGTTGGTGACGTATTCGCCCGAGTTTGCTCGATTTCACCGCGCCAAAATCCGATGGCGAAGCAATGTATTGCCCGGGTAGGTGTTCAGCCTTCATGGTTCGAGATGCGAACATATCCGGCGGTTAGGTAAATTTCGTTCAGGTTAGCGAGTAAAAAAGGAATATTTCCTCGGCTTGAGTCACATCCCACGTTCCGGGTGCTCGTGGCAGTTGGCGACCACAGTGCCAAATGTCCGGTAGGTAGGTAGGGGATGGCGGTTAATAAGTCAATTTTGTGGTCGGCATTTGCAACGAAACCAGAAAACTGGCGTTGTGGTGTAGTGGTAACACAGCTGCGAGCGAGATAGGTTGTTAAAACTATGGTACGGCGGTTCTGTATCCTGGGCCTATTCGCTTACCTACAGAAGCTCCCAGTTCAAACCTGGGCAGTGCCACTGGTTTCGTTACCTTTTTGGTCTTTTTGGTTTCGTTCTTTTTTATGTACCTAGGGTAAATAAAGAGAGGATTAGAAAACTTACCTATGTAGGTATGTATATATATACCTAGGTACCTACTGTGTTAGAGATAGGTGGTGGCGACTAGAGTGTCTAATTAATGTCTGGTAGGTGGGAGAGAGAGTTGGGCTGATAAGCTCGTTTTGTGGTTAGTATTTGCAACGAAGCCAGAAAGCATTGTGGTGTAGTGGTAACACATCTGCAAGCCATATGGGTTGTTCAAACCATGGTACGGCGGTTCTGTGCCGTGGGCTTATACACTCGCAGAAGCCCCCAGTTCGAGCCTGGGCAGTGCCTCTGGTTTCGTTGCTTTTTTTGTTTTGGGTGGTCTGAAGAGCATATTCGAAAACTTGAAACTCGTGCGTGCACTGTGTAAGTTGGGCACGTTTTGGTGACCTCGAGCCCGATCCCCCTCTTGCCCAACGAAGAAACGCGACAAATTTCTTTGGGCTGTTTTCGTGTTGGTACCTAGGTACCTGTTTTGAACATTTTAATTGCCGCCGCGACTTTGCTACTAGCAATATCACTCGGATTCTCTCTCTCTCCTCTTTGATCGCAACAACTAACGAATCTTGCGACGGGATCCCTCGATACAAAAGCCTCCCTGTTCAGACTCTGAAATAACATTAGCAGTGATTCTTGGACTCGAATCAGGTAGGTTGTCGCTGTTGTCCCACCTGCAGCGACCTGTAGACAAACTTTCGACTCGACTGACCAAAGTGAGCTTGCGTCCTGTTTTTAGATACCTAATTCCTCTATGGCCCGGGCCTGTTTACACGACTGAACGAAACATTCGTGCCACATCAACCAACGCGGCGCTGGGTACAAAATGCCCCGGGACACAGAGTGGCGAGTCCACGGGACGATTGTCCCAACACCAACAAGTCGAGAGGATGCCACGCGGTTCGCGAACCTGGCCGCAAGCCGCCGATCGACATGGGGCGACCTCGCCCTCAATATTTTCTCCGATGCGTCGTTTCAGAATCAGAGCAGCGTGGGTGGGTATGCAGTGGTTCACCGACCCTTGATTCCCAGCGATGAGGGCGGCAGCGATGAGGGGAATGACGACCACGACGGCTTCATCGAGGCAGCGTGGCCGATCGACCCGCTGCCGGATTCGAACCTTGCAGAAATGCTCGCGATTGCTAAGAGCATGGCCGTAGCAATTCAACAAGTCAAGGGTAACCGCGCGGCCCTCATGGGGAAGACGATCACCATTACCATCTTCCGCAATTCGGTGGTTTCCCTGGGAGTTCTGAACGGGAGGAAGCTACGCGACAGGTTGTGGCTGCTGGTTTTCCCCGTGGCCAGATTCATTAGAGAGCAGTCTCGGCTCCTTGAGCAACTCGGGCCAACTGTGAATCTTGTTCTCCGTTGGATGCCTGGACACGGCCATCGAGTCCTCCCACACATGCGTGCAGACCGCCTCGCCCGGAGCGCCGGTTTACAGCGTTTATCGTACACGAATGTCGCCCGCAACCCGAATTTCTGGGAGTATTACAGCGAGTCACCAACATTCCGATGGCTCAAACCAACTCTGTTGCGGGCCGTCCAGGAAGCTGTCAGCATCTGGCCGAGATTACACCGCTCACTCCGGCCACAACACCCCGTCCCACTTCAAGAGAGGTGGAACGGTGCTCTCCGGGACCAACTTGACCTTGTCATGCCGGTTTCGGAACTCGGCAAGAAGAACATGCCGACTGCCTGGGCCGATGCAAACAGGGTTCTCCTTTGCATGACCTTGGAACAGAACACCATGATGACTATTGAGGCAGCCATCCCCGTGTTGCGGTCTAACGACCATATCTTTATCAACGACGGGGTTCATTCCTTTGCGGTCCGGCTGGACAACCCAGAACCCCAGTTCCCGTCTCGGGGGGCAGTTCGGGGCCAACTGTGCCGCCATGCGTCTTCTTCGCGAGGGCCAGGAGATGGGCCAAGAGGCATGGGGCAAAGCCGTTGAAAAGATTTGGCCCGTAAGTGCGGTCGAGAAACTTGGCAGCGGCGAATGGACGGGGGAGGGAGAGAGACGAAATGAGAATGTAAAAGGCTGGCAGGCGCATAGTACAAGCTTGAACAGAAAGCGGATTAGGTGCTGATAGCACTGTGAAGCGAGGGATGGCAGGCAGGCTGGGAGCAGGATTTATAGGTATCAATGGATGACCACATGTAACGAGGTTGTAATCCTACCAGATAATCAAGAACCGCATGTTCACGGTCACGGGTATGATGGACGTGACAGAACATTCATTCGATGAGCAAACAAAAAAGAAATCTAACAAAAAATGAACAAAAAAGAGGTAACGAAACCAGTGACACCACCCAGGCTCGAACTGGGGGCTTCTGCGAGTGTATAGGCCCATGGCACAGAACCGCTGTACGATAGTTTGAACAACCCATATGGCTTGCAGATGTGTTACCACTACACCACAATGCCATCTGGTTTCGTTGCAAATGCTGGCCACAAAAGTAACTTATTAACCCCCTTCTTCTACTTCCCGAAGAATACAGCACTGTGGTCGCCAATCCACCTCCGGCTGACACTGCCCGTACACAGTATCTGCACGCACGAGTTCCCAGGTCAGTTTCCAATCTTTTTCTCAGCCCGCCCAAAACAAAAACAAAAAGCAATTCAAACGCGACACAACCTCCCGTTCTGCGTCTGCACCCCCATCTCCCCATCCCTCACCTCCCATCCCTCACTCCCCACCGCCGTCGTCGCATAAAACACCTCCCTCGGATCCCTCGCCCTCTTGATCTCCAGCAACCGCCCATAATGCACCCCATAAAACGCCTCCCGCCACATCGGCTCATCCACATTCGCCTCATTCAAGTACGCCCCACCCCCCTCACTCTCCGGCGCCACCTCCCTCAACGGCGCGATAATCTCCTCCCGCAGCTCCTCCGACGCGGCCCGCACCTGGTCCGGCGTGGGATCCACCACCCCCACGGGCAACCGGCCCGACAAGATCAAAAAACAAACCACCTCGCGCCACGCCGAGTTGACCGCGTTGTCCGCGCCCGCGCCCGCCCGGTTGCGCGGCGCCTGGTGGTAGCCCATGAGCGGACGGCCGGCGGACGCGTGGCGGCGCAGCACGGCAAAGGTTTCGTTGAAGAGCGCCGGGTCCTCCCAGTTGCGGCGCGGCAGCAGGCGGTTGCCGGGGACGGAGATGCCGCCGGCGCTGTTGAGGCGGCGGTTGCGGCCCCAGGTGGCGTTGTAGGCGGCGTAGAAGGAGGGGTGGGCGGTGGTGGTCGGGGTGAAGGGGATGTTGAGGGCGCGGAGTTTGGTGAACCAGGGTTGGATGAGGGTGGTGAAGGTGGCGAGGGTGTGGTTGGGCGCGAAGAAGGGGTCCATCGTGAAGGTGTGGCTGCCGTTGCCGTCGCTGGACAGCGTGAACCAGGAGTAGGTGCCCGCGTCGGTGAAGGGGATGAAGAGGGAGAAGTAGGTGTACATGGATTCCCAGAAGGCGTCGGCGGTGACGTTGGGGGAGGTGCTGATGGTGAAGGTGGAGGTGACGACGGGGAGTTTAGGGTGCACGCGGATGATCAGGGAGGTCACCACGCCAAAGGTGCTGCCGCCGCCACCGCGGAGGGCCCAGTACAGGTCCGTGTTTTCCTCGGGCGAGGCGGTGATGAAGTGGCCGTCGGCTGTGACGACTTCCAGGGCCATGACGTGGTCGGCTGCCATGCCGTAGAGCCCGGAAAGGGGTGTGTGTCCGCCACCGGCAATGTACCCGCCCGCGTACCCGACGCTCTGTGCCAAAGAGGTTAACATGTGATGTAAATTCAACGGTTGGTGGGTCCACTCACCTCGCAGATACCCCCTAGAGCGCTCACGTCGTTTCTGTCAGCCTCGGCATACACCTCCCGCACAGTCACCCCGGCGCCGACCTTGATTGCCGGCCCGGAGTATCCGGGAATCTCGAGATCAGGAAAGTACTCGAGGTTCTTTAGGTTGTGTGTCCAGATGCTTAGGGCACCAGCCCCGCTGCTCTTGCCGAGGTAGCAGTGCCCCGTGTTCTTGATGACCAACCGGAGGTTGGCGTTGCGCGCAAAGTTGACGGCGAGCTGGATCTGGCTCACGCTGCTGACATTCACAGCATAGACGGGGAAGGCCCCGTGGGTGCAGTTGCCGCTGTCGGGGTCGTCCGTCACCATGCATGTCCTTCCCTGGTACAGCGGCCAAAAGATGGAGGTCGGGTCGTTTTCACTAAGAAGCATGAGTTTGTGCCATGAGCGGGGGGCTGTTCGGCCCTGGCAGACACTTACTGGAGATATGGGTCACTGAAGGAGTCGCGCACGGCAGCGCACCTTTCAGCATTGTAGACACCCATGTTTTGGTAGCACGGGGCGGCGATCGGCACAGTCTCGATGAGAGCTCCGCCGAGGAGATCGTCAAAGTTCTGCCAAATACCTTGGGATGGCCATTCTGCATCCCCTGGAAATGCCTTACAAGCTGGCCCGCTTGGACCCGAATCTGTTTCAACTCCATCGTCAAACGCAAAGAGGGAGGCATGGCCCGTAACCCCGTTCTCGGCAAGTAGCTCTTCGAGCCCCGCTTCGGTCAATGATCTTGTCTCGTACTCAAAGAGAGGATAGGCATGGTCACTCGTGCCTTGTGTAAGGCCAAAAGAGAGAAGGGAAAAGAAGAGCAGCCCGAACAGATAGAAGGCGGCCATGGCAGGCGAGCATAGGTCATGGAAACGTCTTGTGGAGGAGATGGAGACGACAAGCTCCAGGCATGGTTCGACGACGTCTTCATTTCAGATGCCGTGGGAGCTTCCCCTCACAAGCGGGACAGCAAGGGCTGATGGGCCTATCATTACTCTGATATGCATGGTCCTGCATGTTGACTGGGTTGCAGTTGATCAACAGTGCAAAGTTACCGTGGAGTTTGCCGGTTAATAACATTGAACCATATGGGATATCCGTAATTGGCAGCAGCGCCAAGATGAGATCGGTACTGCTTTAGCGAGTGATTCGGGACTCGGGAGCTCGGCTAAGGTATCACCGGATCCAGGTCAGTTGAGCCTTGAGGTGCTAGACATCATATTCTCAGAATAAATGCATAAAATATATGTTATAAAGTTGACATCTGATAGCGGCCCAGACATAGAAACCTGCAGGGTGTCATTTCACACCCATGTGTACTTGGGAAGTGCCATATAGAATGCACCCGCGATGCAACCATGGCGTCCAGGTTGTTGCCGCGTTCCATTGCGAATAAGGTGATGAGCTCGCACTTGGTTATGGTTGGTCAGGAGGTTTGAAGGCTACGTGTGCTTTCAATGGGAAAATATGAGTGGTATCAAATGACGGGAACCCTCTTCGGAGAGCACGAGCAAAGAGAACTCGCTCTGTGGGTGGAGTTTAGGTATCTCCCAAGTTTGTTTTTCAGAGTGTTTCTCAATCCGAACCCAGGTAATCATGTCATTTCCTCTTTCGACAAGGGGCGAGCAGCGGCGAGGCACAGGATTCGAGGGCAAAAAGTTGTCTTACCTAGGTAAGATACCTCGTTCTACACGAGGACTGATAGCTTGCATTCGCCCTTCCAGCCACACGCATCCATTGCTTCAGACTTGGGTAAAAATAACGCCTGAGATACCCTGCAGCGTCCGACGGGTAAGAGTCCAGCGGCCCGTTGCCCCTTGATCAGGCCGTCAACTGGCGCTTTTTGGTTGATGGCAGACCGTTCTGAGCCGTAGCGGGCCGCCGATTGAGGACTAATACCGTTAGGCGTGGTATCCATCTCACGTTAACTGAGGTGTTTTCAAAGCACCCATGTCATACAATAATCTGTCGCCTGTCAACATTCTGAGCACTCTCTGTTATTAAATGACCCAAATCATCCCTCCTCGCTAACGGCCAAGGAACCCTGATAGCAGCGGCTGACATGTCGCCCGACACGTCGGTATCACAGCCCATCACCATCTTCGCACCATTCCGTCCCGCCAATCTCCTTGCGTACGTGATGGGGCTGTGGTTATGCCTGATGCAGCTCAAAACGACCACCTGGAAGGGGTTGGGATCGTCTATCACAACTGAGAACCAATGCACCCCTCGCTGACCATGATTCCGTGGTCATCTTGCCCTTTCAATGGCAACGAGGCGTTCACGACTGGATACACCCGGTCCGAGGCAGCCCATGCGGTAGGCGTATTCTCGGTCCCAAATCCCAATTGAGGAGGGAGGAGGGCCCTTGGGTGACTGTGGAGAACGGCACGGGACCGCTCGCGCTGGCAGGGTTACGCCAATGGGCTCGCTCGCCAGGGGAGCGGTCCTTTTTCCCTACCAGAGGTTCACATGGACCATCTCCTTGCAAAGCGTGTCCCTGTTTCACCATTCGCACTTCTTTTATTGGAAACGCCGTGACACCGTCAAAACTGCTTCTCGACACAGTAATGAGGACAACCACCGCGTCCCGTTCCCTCGTCGGAGTCGTCACTCTCGTTCCTTTGAACGGCGTCTATTCCAACGCGTTCGTGTCCGGAACTGGAGAAACCAACTTTTGTCGTGAACAGGAATTCCTGATGCAACTGGCCGTCCTGTCTCGGGATCGCCCCTGAAGATCGAAGAATTTGCTGCTTGACTTTTTTCACAAAGGCCGAGGATCCTGGGATCCTGATACGCGCCAGAGCGGAAAGGTTGAAGTCAAATTTACCTCTGTGGAGTTTCACACCGTCTTGGCGCCAATGAGACGGGCGAGGCATTCTGGTGAGGCAGTCCGGGCCGCTCTCGAATTCCGAATTCCACCTTTTGAGTTCCACCTTCCTCAGCAACCCACACCGGTTACGTTAAATAAAGTCCAAAGCCACGCAGGCCACGCGCGGATAAAGAGAAGGAATCAGCCATGCGCATGCCAGATTCCATTGCTGACACCTGGCAGTGCTTTCCGGATATGGCAGTCCAAGGCGCAAACTGGGTGAACTGGGATGACCGTCGCGAAAGCATCCATTTTGAGCTTACTGCCGTGCCGGCTGTGTCGTGTGCTGTCGACTCTGGCGTGTCTCGGTCGGTCTACCACATGTGCGATCTGTCACCTGCCGCGCGTCACCGTCGCTGTCCAAGCATTGCAGTCCACGATTCAATTCTCTGTTTGCGCAACGGTAGGCGCAGGTGGGGATACATCAACATACCGTCAGCATACCGGACAGTGATTGCTGCTGTCGTGTGTTGACATCATTCCGGTCGTCCACAAGCGGAAAAGCAAGGGCCATGTTGTTCGTTTCCCAGAAATACAGAAACCGAACTGGGATCCGTGCAGCTTTGGGGTCCGAAGGCGTGGACGGTTGGTTGGTTGCAATTGGCTGAAGCGCTGACCCACAATGACAACACCCTTGCCGCTCCCCTGCAGCTTAGATCGTTGCCGCAGGCATGGGCAGGCCTCCTTCTGCCGTGCTGCCTTCGAATGGAGAATTCCAAGTTCCATCGTTTCCA